CAACAACTCTAGATGTGGTATTAAGTGGATTGGTGACGTGATGTGAAAGGATGGCACCAGAGTGAATAGCTGTCCACACGAGTGTATCCAAAATGGGTTTATTTTGTGTCTTAAGAGAAGAACTACATACTTGTGGGATCACCCCCTAGATGTTGTCTCGCCTATCGCTGACATAATCAACTCCTAGGAGCCGGATAAACTCCGGATCCCATCTACAAGGCAATAGCCTGTAACACGTAAGAGTCTTATAGGTGGATATATAAAAGGCGGCTAGAGCTGAAGGAAGAAAAAGATAGATCCAAAACTAAGTTTATTAATCAATTATACTTAATTCTATTATTCATCACAGTTTATTAAATTGCCTTGCAGTAATTAACAAACACTTCTATATATTGACTTGAGGATAAGTAATACTCATATATATATGTTGTAGGAATACTCTTGCATACAGTACCTGTCAAGTAACTGGAAGCCTGACCTGTGAAAAGCGAACTGTATCTAATTAAAGAAAAAGATAACTCAGTGAAAACAACTTGATTCCTATTCCTCCCAGAATTCTAGGACTACATACACTGATCATGATTGACTTAATCTCTTGGACCCTAAATATAGACATTCGCTATGAAGAGAACAGCCTGCGGCTCTAAATATAGAATCAAGCACTGACCGAAGCAAACAGCTCACGTAGGTATGGACAGTCCCTATTTTTGACCCAAAACATTTCCCTTTCCAACTTCTTTGATAGTTATTCTTAGCCTTCGACAGTACCCCAATCATGATTGGAGTAAACTCAACCCTAAAACTAATCAGGAAGGAGCTTTGAATTAGTCATGAATTAGTCACTGAAGGAAAGGTGGCCAGTGCTGACGAAAAATTATACTGCATAGAGTTCCTTTAGATAGCAGTCCTGAGATAGAGATAGTCGGTATATTTAAACTGAATATGATTTATTTGTAAATATGCCCCAAAAAACCCTACAGGAGCCGCCGCTTTAATATTGAGAAACATTGTATGTCAACTGTCCCATATAAATTGAGCCGATGAAGTTCTCAGTTATTATTACCTTTGATTCTACCATCAAAAATTCTTAATCTTTCGACCAATAACGCTTTCTTGGAAACTTTGAAGGATGTGTTCCCTCCAGCCTTACCCTTTCTATACCGTGTCCTTATACACGGAGGACGAAATATGACTGAGAACTCAATAACAAGGCTTCTTAGACTTGGCCTTTGTTAGACTCAATCTTTAGTGTGCCGGCGAAATACTGTTGTGACGGCCCTGCATCATAGTAATGAGTAGGGGTGCAATGACATAATGATTAGTCTGTAGTATAAGGAGTTACCCGGTATGGAACGCACGGGCCAGGTGTAAATTATGTACAGTTATAGATCTGTAGATGCTTTCTTTCCCTTCTCTTCCATAGTTTAGAATCCTTTATATTATAATCCTGATTTGAGTATCTATTTGATTCGACTTCGTCATCTCCTAGCTCGTGATCTATTCGAACCCTCACAATTGTATCTATATTATTAATGGTGATTAGCCGCAGTTCGAGTTAATGGTGCCTTTGGCTATGATTAGAACACATTTATGGCTAGTACTTCAACCGTCTATTAACAACAAGAGTCATTTATGGAGAGTCGGAAGGACTCTAGTTTTTTTGGTGATTATGATCTCTAAATTTATAAGATTGCTATTTTAGGTGGTGAATGGATTAAGGACTGAAAATGATCTTCCCGAAAAAGTCAAAAAATTTTTGTGTCTGCTTTTTTAACACGAAAATCAGAAAGATTTTTCATGTTCCAATCCGCCTTTGGCATATAGGGCGTAGATGATTGATTTCGTTACTAGCGTGGTCGTGAAGTCTCCGCAGATTTGTTTTCGACAATAAATAAGCTAACCCATCGTAAACTCTCAAATTCACTCATATTGTGACTGAATCTCGACTCTGACAGAAAATTTCATTCTCTTTTTCGTTCAGGACACCAGAGACGGGTTTCAAGCTTCTATCATCCCCTTTGTAATTGTAAATCCTCTCGATTCATTTCCTCATGAGCGAGCAACATACTATTAAACTCGTATACTTTTGTTGGTGCAAAACTATTAAGAGATCAATTATGAGTGGTGTTCTCTGGTACGGTTGGAGTAGCCAAGGCACCTACTCCACTTGGGAAGGAGACGCCTAAAACCCCATTTTGCGCTGAGAAAAATAAATGGATGATGGCGGTATATCCGGATAACTCAAGGTTTTTGAGACATTCCCCTAGGTGGGTTTTCATGGATGAGGGTTGACTTGAGGTGATAAAAAGCCGCCATAACCTCGCAGTGGTACTTGCAAATGAAATACGAAGCATGAGTGCTCTTCTTTTGCATGGAGTCATCTACTGTTTACTTTTTTTGATATTGCGTCATACCTTAATAGCTGCATACGTAATTAAAATCTGATTAAAAAAAAAGGATAAATTATGATGTACGCTGTGGCCACGGGTTCAAGTTTGCAGTGGATTTATATGGGGCGCATATTCGCTTCAAGGGAAATACCCCTGTTAGCGACAATTTCATGAGGGTGCATAATTCTTGTCCTGTATTTCCAGGCCTAAACCGAGGGCACAATTTGATTTCATATCACCCTCAGTTATGTGCAAATCCAACCCGCTCTCTAATTCTTTCCATCACTACACTTTTGGCTGACCGCTAAAAAATGATACAGCTCTTCTCATCTTGTGCTTGACTGATAAAAAGAATAAGATTTCTCAAATACAAAATTGTTTATTCAGCAGATATATTGCTTCACTCGATACAAACCTTAGTTTGCAGATGAATCCACCTGAAACCCCACCTTCAACATCTCGATTCAAACAATTATCCAGAGATCAAAACATTTCAGTTTTTCGAAAAATTAAATATTAGCGAATTGAAACTAAAAGCAATTTTCAGACTTGTGGACTCCATCAAACTGGCAAAGACCAGACGCAGATTGCCGCGTAACTAGGCATTTCTGGAGAAAAAGTCAGTTATTCACTGCGCCGCGAAACTGTTTCCTGAAGGAGAAAAGGAACATCCTCAAGACTTAAATATCAACGACATGTAGCTCATCAATAGCCTTCAGCATCTCAAAAAACTGCGAAGATACGTAGAGAATGGGCCGAAGCTCATCTCAATTGGACATATAAAGACTGGACGTCAGTTTTGTGGACAAACAAAACTTGGGTAGAGGATGGAAGACGTTCTAGAAAATGGGTGACAAGAAGTGTTCGTATATTCCTCTGCAAGAAGATAGCAATTTGATGCTCTAACATTATGAGCTAGACTTCCCAAGAATATAATGCTAATTGTGTTGCAGAAAAATCGAAGAAGAGGGTCGGCTGGATTTTCTGGGGTTGCTTCGCAGGGCCAGAAAAAGGTCCCTTTCTATTTAGGGAGAAGGGGTGAGGCTTAATTAACTCCCAAAAATATTGCGAGAGAAAAGTTCATCTTATTGATGTCATGGTCTTGATGAGACCCCGGCTTTCCGTAATGCAGGATAATGCTCCTGCTCATACAGCAGCAAGTACAATGGAAGAAATGAGGCAGAGGCTCATTTCTTCCGATTTTCTGGCCGGCCAACTCGCCTGATCCTAATCCAATTGAAGCTGTCTGGAATAGGATGAAGAATTACATCCATCGTCATTATACGAATCTGTGTTGCCCAAGGCAGCGAACTCAAGATAGTCTTCGCAAGATTGTAAAGTAGGCATGGTATTCTGTGGCAAAACCAAGCTGGTTGTAGTGTACTTTTAGAAAGATTAAACTATATGAAGAGAGAAGTACCACAACTACGGATAATGACTATTTGTACATCCTTCTAGCTTATCCAGTACGTTCTCCATTGGTGAGAATTATATTTTTCCGCCACTGCCCGTCGTCATCTTTGCCATCTAGCTGACTCTCTCACTTGGCAATTCTACTTCGCCGTCTCACATTCCTTCCTGGCTCCAATGTAATGTGGCCAAGTGAAACTTAGTCGCTTGGTACAAGATAATACGAAGCACTCTCTAATACGCCCCAAACTCCGCTTAGGTCTCCACCCAAGCTAAACCACGGTCAGACCGTAACAGATTCCGTGTCTTCCAGAGATTTTGTGAGACTCATTCAGAGTATGCCAGCAAGATATCAGGCTGTGATAGATGCGGATGGGGGACCAATTACATATTAAGGCTTGAAAATATTCTAGCCACATGTTCAGATCCAAGATTAAGATAAGACTGTGGCTCTATTTTGTAATACGAAAACCATTAAACTCTTGTAAATAAGTTGTAAAGCCAAGTAGCAAATATGCATAATTGCTATGCAGCCGATCACTATACCAATTAGGTTTAGTACGAAGGAAAGACCCACTGCAAACTATAGTGTCCAGAAAGAAACTGCCATAAAAACATTTTGGAAAACTTGCACAAATACGGGGGCTAACCCCAATGTAGAAGGAAATCAAGCCTGCTTAGGCATAATTTGCGCGCGAAAACCCCCACTAAAGCCCCACTACAAGCATTCTACCGTGGCAGTACGGTTGATAAATTCTATCGCCCTTGAAAATTTATCAAAACAATTAGGCAATATAAATTTATACCTAAGCGCATATATCTGACTCCATAGCTTAACCTAGTTATCTCGATTAACCGTTTCATGGTTCAGAGGTTGATCAGTTTAATCTTACTGAATTTTATTGAGATGAGAAATTGCGTCTCAATCAATCATTAAACTCATCTGAATAACATCTATTACTAGGAAGTGGATGGAAACGTATAAGATTGGTATTTAAATGCAACTATTTCCCCCGTTGAGGACTGAAAATATCAACGTCTCCAATGAGCAATATTATTGCTCGGGGTAGAGACCCTCTACCGGACACCGTGCCTGCAAATCCGTCATGACACACTCACAAGAACCCGTAAAAAATCCCCGTCATTATTATTTACACGCTTGAGGAGACGTAAGTCAATCTAAATAGACTTTACACGTATCTAATCCTTATCTTTGTATATGAGCTTAGCTTTCAGCTTTCCAAAAAAGCTTGAGCGTTTCTTTTTCTTATCAGTCTTGTCAGTAACAGTAGGACTGTTACTGCCAGAAGCAGCTAAATCATCATCTGGGATTGATAGTCTAGTTGTCTGTTCAGTGATAGAGTCTGGAACTGGTTGGACGACGTGCTGAGATACTGGTGGCGAGGCAGTAACCGGCTCTGCGTTCGAGGAGGATACCCCGGTCGAAACACCAAACCTGTTAACCGGGCAAAAATCTCTTGAAACTATGTCTTCATCCAAATTTTTTTCTGGAGTCTTGCGGCAATTTAAGTCGGAGTTTTTCTCAGTTATAATATTTCCTCTAAATTCATAGTCAGTTAGTATTTGATATCGTTTTCATAAATGTAGTCAATAAGCTATCATGAATTTTCTAATGGCAGAGATGTTTTTGTAAATTTTACGGGGATAGTGAATTTGCTGACTGAAGTAAGAGTAAAACTTACTCCTTCAAATCGTTGGAAATATCTTTAGCCACCTCAGTTAATACATCCTGAGATCCTACCTCTTTTAGTCTGTCATTGGCTGGATACGGAACAGGATGCTGTTCAGAGACTGGTCCTGATAGCTTTTTATCAGTAACCAGTTCGTGTGAATTCGGAAGAGGCAGATGAGCTACGGAGTTCTGGTCTTGCGATGATTCTGTAACCTTTGCGACAGGTTTAATATGTTCAGTATTCGAATCATTGAAAGCTTCATTCTCGGGTTCTACTATCTGTGTGTGCATGTCATTATTGGCATTGTCAGACTTGTCTTCATTGTTCTGCTCTATCGGTTTACGCAATGTTTTAGGAATCTCTCCTACTAGAGCGGCAGTAGAGCTCTGGGGACCGACGGATTGAATTATAGAGTCTGTGAAGAGAGTCGCTTGAGAGGACTCGAAATTTGAGCTAGGGTCTGGGATTAACCTCATTGAAGATGAAACAGTAGGATCTATGGCGTGTTGAGCGTTTCGCGTTAGCGATAAAGATGGGATTGGTAAATTCGGACCTTCCTTTGCTTTTGGACTGTTATTTGCTTGCAATACTTTGCTTGAAAGTATATTGGGTTGATTAGTTTCCTCACCCGGGGCTGGAGTCTCAGGAAATGTTCCAGGTAATGAGATAGAGCCACATCTTTTATTTTTATCAAGCGGAATAGCCCCAACCATACTTGCGGTTGTCGAGTTCGGTGTGACTCCAGACATAATTCCTAGAGTCTCGGGAGTAATTTTATTAATCCGATCTGGCGTAAGAATATTGTTCAGATTTCCAGAATCGTCGTTCTCTTGTGGGGCGGTATGGTCAGTGACCCAATTACCATCGACAACGAACTGCAAGAAGATATTGTTAGCTTGGTCAGTTGGTGATTTGATCAACCTTTAATAGTCAAGTTCAGTTGCAAGTAACGAGCATAAATGGAATGAAAATGAAGTTTGGATGGCAAAATATCTATAATGCAGGAGCTTTGAACATGAGAAGACCCTGATCTCTCAGTAGCGAGATTGTATGCTTGCATAGGGAAAGGTTGGTAGAACCTTCCCATTTTCTTGCACTGTGTAGCTGTCTTCCAGGACTTAATGGAGCCACTAAACCCCTTGCTAAGGCACATGCTCGGGGGTATTGTGATATTGTAGCATGAGTGTAGACCTGTCATTAAAGAATGTGTCTTTGACCCTGACAACTCTTTTATTTCGTTTACGAATGAGTGTTGACTTACCTTGTAATATATTTTTTCTGTAGCGCTAGGGAGGAGTACGTTTTTTGAAAAGACGTCCCCTGTCAAATCTAGTCGTTCACTTTTCGACCAGTTATCAAAAGTTCCAGTAACGTATACCTCACTGGCTGGGTGCGTCCTGATTTTCTAAGTTAGCTGGGTTGAGGAGCAAAGTAGGAAAGACGTTGGAAGTTGTTATGGTATTTAGGTTATGTATTATCTGGAGTGCCTACCACGTAAATACGAAGCTACCCATCTCGGCTTCTTTGAGAGAGTATATATCTCCCCAGCCTGGTTCCTACTCTTGATTTATCGGGCTTGATCAATTGCTGGCAGGATAAGGATACACAAAGGTAAAGAAATAGCGAGAAGTGCCCCTTGGATTATTAGTGTCCTAGAGCTAAACACGTCTGAAGAAGTTAAGGCTTGTGGAAGGATTAACAGCTATGAGTAATTAATATGATCAGGACGTTTATTGAACTGATACTAGCGGGGGAGCTCAGGTGTGGCGGCGTTAAATGTCGATCGTGGCCAAGGCAAGTCAGCCTCTGCCATCACTACCATTATCAGTTAGTTGGATTACACTAAGCATGCATGTCTATTTATAAACATTGCTTCTCAGGAATATCCCGAACGGATTAAAGTAGGTTATGCTACGAGCAGCATTGTTTGCAGTTTCCGATAGCATCAGCCTGGGCAAAGCTGAGAGATAGACGGCCAAATTATCAAATTACAAAGGTGCTGCTGCGATCGTAAACATGTGGGAACTCTTTGTTCACATTATTCATAAACCGAAAGATTAATCAGCGAATAAGTCACAAACTTTACCGCTGTCAGGGCATAGTTCGCCTTTAGCCGTTCCACGTTTCATAGGTTGGTATCCTAATCTTCCTTGAAGAAATCGTTATGACGTTTTTATCACTTCACACCTTTCGTTCACACACCCCAAAAATACGGGGATCTGTCTGGAATGACTTGAAAAACTACAAAAAATGACAGAATCAGGTCGATTGAATCATAACAAAATATTCTCCTCGTGACACGCCCAGTGGATAATCTTCAATCATCAATCAATTACGTAATTGTCTAGCCCATTAATCAATTCTTCTGGCAGCCTATTTCGAGCATCGAGCCAACTTCGAAAACAGGAATGTTTGTGGGTGACTTTCGCGCTCTGTTACCCCCACAAGAACAAAGCTTGTTGTAATATCCCTTTTTGGTCATGTTTTCATCAATCTATTCTCGGTGTGTTTGTAGTGCGTGTGTGTAATCAAAAGATCACAAGACAAGAATATTTGAACTTACCTCCTTCAGCCTGGGAATGTAACCATTAATATGAAATCATCCGATACAGCAAGTGCTCGATGATCACATTGTACGCCATTCTTTCGGTATCATCTCCAAACTGACAAAATTTTGTGCGATGCAAATGAGAGAGAGTCTGCGAGGTCATAATTTATCTCTGGCTTTACGTTTTGGGCTCAGCTTTGCAAGTGAGAAAAGTACCACTTCAATTGGAAAGAGCCTCAATGATTCTTTCTATAACCATAATATTGTAAATGTTAAGTTTTCCCTTCACTTTTGTCAAAATTTTGGTGAGGTAGTCAGACACACTTGGTTTGCGATTTGATTTTATTTCCCCGGTCCAAAACCTTGTTGGAAACCTATATCTATCGCATATTTCACATCTAGCAGTAAAGATAGCTGGCTAAAACGAATTCTACACTTTAAAGCTGTGCTGGTGTAGAAGCTCAGTAATCTTTACATATACGGGATATTCAAAAAGAATCATATCCAAACTGAAGTCAGAGGCAAACACGTGAGTATCTATATTTGATGACTTTACATTAATGTCGGTCTAGTCATTTCCATCAGTCCTCAGCCTCTAACCACATATCATCTCACATTAATGAACAATAAAGGAGCCTCTCCGATTTCAAACGGGAAATTGTGTTTTTAATCACTGGATATCTTCTAAAATCAAGTCAAAATTCCACGCATGCTCGCAAGACGTAGAAAAATTCGTGCGTTGCAAGACTTTGGGTCTGACTTTTGGGGGATCGTTGCTCTAACGGGGCTCTACCTGCTAAGGGAGTACAGACAGTTGGGACGTGAAATGAAAGAGGGAAGAAGTCACTATTTGGCGCGATATGACTCATGTTCATCGTGACGCTTTCGACTTTGGAATGTTTGTGGGAGTCAAGACCAAACTTCCGGTTAACTAGCCAAAAGGACTTCTCTTGTCGTTGGGTCTATCGCACTCTCCAGTACCCCAGACGGCGCAAAAGAAGGCATGCTAAGCTACTTTACATCAATCACGCTCTGTCAATACCTTTCACACATTTCAAACATTTCAGCACGACTTTCGGTAAAGAGGTTGAAGATTATTATAAGGGCAGAGAATGAGTTTGCTGAGATACCCACAAGTCTGCAACGCTCAGCTAGCCGGTCTCTTCGAGCGCTTTAAAAGGTTCAGTACGTCTTTGGGATTTAGTCCTGATATCGGTATTAGAAGAGCCCCGCACTCAGTATTTTTTGCGATTTTTCCCGGCTGCCATACACCCGCAATTGCCATTATTCTTTGGCGGGAGAGGGAAGATAATGAAGAGCAAGGGGCTCTTTTAACGTATGATCGTATGAGGGCTTGTGATGGTTGGTGCCATTTGAAGGGAGCCATATGGGAGGCAAAAGTGTCAGGTATCTAGGTGTCTGACCTGTGGCAGGCAAAGTGTATTTGAGATTGAAGAAAAAGATAACTCAGTATAAACAACTTAATTCTATTTTCCCGAAACTAAAGGTCTATGTATACAAATTATTATGAACTTAAGGAAAATAAAAGACTTGACCATCCAAATAATTTTAAATCATTCTCATTGAATGATGTCGAGCTAAAAATGTAACTTGCCTAAAATAGCTTTGCAAGACCACGAGGCTGAGTATACCTAAACTTAGCGCTTACTCTTTTTTTTTTCCTTTTTTTTTTGCATCAGATTTTAATTGCGTATGCAGCTATCTAGCTATGACACAATATCAAAGAAAAGTACAGAATAGATGATTCAACGTAAAGGAAGAGCACTCATGCCTCAGATTTCATTTGCAAGTACCACTGCGAAGTTGTGGTGGCTTTTTCTTCGCCCCAAGTCAGCCCTCATCCGTGAATACCCACCCAGGGGAACCTCTCAAAAACCCTGAGTTATCCAGACATGCCTCCATCATCATTCAACTTCTCTCCGCGCGAAATATGATCTGAGATGTCTCCTTCCCAAGTGGAGTAGGTGCCCAGGCTACTCAAACTATACCGGAGAACACCACCAGGAGGCGGATCACAACACCTTCCATCGTTTGCTTGTTTTTATAGTGTCAGCTACACTCTCGTAAGCGAAGTCTTGGCGCGCACAAAGCCCAATTCGTAAAACTCCTTGCCAAAATTCGGAATCTCACGCCCTTCGAGGTTATATCCGTCCTTCGCATCATCTTGTCAACTTGTCCAGATCCCTCTCACATCCATCCCAAAGAACTATCTCCCAGATTTGTGCTCCACGCTTTGATTCCTCCGTCGGGTATAAATATCGGCGTGGGCGTGTGTTTGGTGACCAGCTAAGGCCAGAGAAGGTCGAAGAGCGGTGTGGTCATTGGGATGAGGATGTACTATGTCGTACTTGTAGACTTGATGAGACTTAGGCAGGCTTCAAATTCGTTGGCAGCGAAAAAACGACGTGGAGGATTAATTTTAAATTTTGCCTCGTGGGCCAACTTCTTTGATATTGCGAGATTTGACTGAACTTTGCTCTGGGAGAATATTTCACTCCCAGGTTCGTAGAGGACACCGCGTACAGGTGTTCAGTCTCGCCCTCCTACCAAAATGGTTCACTTCACAGTTTGTAGCAATAGATACCTATTTGTCCCCTCAGAGTTTCTGAACAAAATAGATAAGGTTTAAAAAATATGAATTCTTTATTTTGAAAAAATTTCCCGCTGCGCCGTCGCCTCTTCAACGGGAGAAACGATAAAGATCCATAGTGCAGGTCAGACGGTATGTTAAACGACTTTCGTATAAAATTGAATTCACCCCTCCAAATTATATTACGTAATATCGTGAAAATTCATCCACAGCTCCGACTTGCTCTGCCCCATTACCGTGCTTTTATGTTATTGACTCATGCGCCCTTTACAGCATTACCAATGCTGACAAATTTTCCAAAATAATCTACATTCTTATTCACTCACCTTTGGTTCTGGCCGTCTCTGGGAAACAAGCTTTTTAGTCCAAAGAAATTTTGAGGAAGATGCAACAGATGTCGGCCGGTGTGGATGGGTCCATTAAGGACTCGGTAGTCGACAAGCTACCTAAAAAATTCAGAGAACTAAAATTTGGAATTCAGAGCATACAGCAGATGGCGGCGCAAGCGGTTCTCGAGGTATCAGACAGAACACTTTACGATGTCGAGAATCAGCGGAAGCCTGTCAAAAATGGTGCATTGGATCCACTGATGGTAAAGAAATCTATTTTTCTACAGAGCAGATGCATATCTAACTCTGAAAGGGTACATCGTCTAAGACCGGAACATGCGATACTTGTGGAGAAGGTCTTCAAACCTGTAACGGTATCATCTCGCGCACGAAAATACAATTTACTTCCTGACAAATTTGTTATATAGGCCATTTCGGACATTGCCGGCTCGCCCTACCATGCTTTCACATTGGATACCTAAAATTAATTCAAATGATGCTCCAAAATATATGTAAGGACTGTGCCAGGGTTCTCCTCAACGACACTGAACGCAGAAGCTTTCTCAAAGAATTACGAAGACCGGGCATTGATAATCTAAAGCGTACCCAAATCTGTAAAAAAATAAATTTACAGTGCCGAAAAGCAAAGCACTGTCCATCATGTGGTGAAATTAATGGCCAAATCCGAAAGATTGGAGTTCTCAAGCTAGTACATGACAAGTATCAAGCATTTAATAAATCAACAGCAGCAAAAAAAGTACCGCCTCCTGGTTTGATAAACTTCCAAAAATCTTTCGACGAAGCGAAAAAAAACAACAACGAGCTTGACAAACATGTCAAAAAGGCCATGGAAGATCTCAATCCATTGAGAGTCCTTAATCTTTTCAAAATGATCACACCCCCTGATTGTGAGTTGCTCAACATCAATCCAGCAGAAGGCAGACCAGAAATGTTTCTATGGCAATATGTCCCAGCACCACCTATCTGTATCCGTCCATCGGTTGCCCAAGAAAATGCAAGCACAGAGGACGATCTCACAACAAAGCTAGCCGATATTGTTCATATCAGCTCACTAATTCGAGCTGCATTACAAAAAGGACAGCCAATACAAACAATCGTTGAACAGTGGGATTACCTTCAGTTACAGATAGCTATGTATGTAAACAGCGACGTGCCTGGACTTCAGCAGCCCGGATTTGGAAAGCCCATTCGGGGTTTCTGTCAGAGGTTAAAGGGTAAACAAGGCAGATTTCGAGGAAATTTGTCTGGAAAGCGTGTAGATTTCTCGGGGCGCACCGTCATCTCCCCGGATCCAAACCTTGGAATTGATCAAGTTGCTGTCCCGATTCTTGTAGCCAAGAACCTCACATATCCCGAGCGTGTCCAACGGCAAAACATTGAAAAGCTCCGAAAATGCGTCATTAATGGTCCAAACATACATCCTGGAGCCCAGCAGATAATTAAGAAGGATTCTGATCACAAAATATCATTAAAATTTGCTCGCAGGGAGAATGAAGCTAAATTTCTGAAGATAGGCGATGTCGTCGAAAGACATCTTGAAGATGGTGATATTGTGCTATTTAATAGACAGCCTTCACTTCATAAGCTTAGTATCATGAGCCATTATGTAAAAGTTAGACCTTGGAGAACATTTCGGTTGAATGAATGCGTTTGCAATCCTTATAACGCTGATTTTGATGGAGACGAAATGAATCTCCACGTACCACAAACCGAAGAAGCTAGGGCCGAGGCGATTAATCTTATGGGCGTAAAGAATAATTTATCGACACCTAAGAATGGTGAGCCCATTATCTCAGCAACCCAAGACTTTATAACAGCAGCATACCTCTTGAGTAGCAAGGAAAATTTCTTTGACCGGAAAACATTTACCAATTTATGTATGTACATGGTTGACGCTAATGTCCATCTGGATCTCCCATATCCTGCAATAATAAAGCCTGAAGCACTTTGGACAGGGAAGCAGGTCTTCAGTGTTTTAATGAGACCTAATAAGGACTCCCCAGTCAAGGTTAATCTAGATGCGAAATGTCGAGACTATAAGGCCAAGGCTGGTCAATGCCCAGACATGGATCCTAATGATGGCTGGCTTGTGGTTCGTAATTCAGAAGTCATGTGTGGCCGAATGGATAAAACAACTGTTGGTTCTGGAAAGAAAGACTCTATTTTTTACATTATTTTGAGAGATTTTGGACCTGACGAAGCTGTCACAGCTATGAATCGACTCGCCAAAATTTCTGCGAGATATCTTACCAACCAAGGATTTTCTATAGGAATTAGCGACGTTTACCCTTCCCAAAAGTTAAAAGAAAAGAAGCAGGCTCTCGTGACTAAAGCCTACGAAGAATGTGAGAAGCTAATCATGACTTTTAAAGAGGGAAAACTCGAGAAAGCAACTGGATGCAATATGGAGGAGACTCTCGAAAATGCTATATCTGGAATTCTCAGCAAGGTTAGACAACAGGCTGGAGAATATTGTATAGAAACTCTTAGTAAATGGAACGCACCTTTAATTATGGCCAAATCTGGATCAAAAGGCTCAAATATCAACGTCGCTCAAATGGTGGCTGTGGTAGGGCAACAAATTATTGGAGGTCAACGTGTACCCGATGGATTCCAGGATCGTAGCTTGCCACATTTTCCAAAAAACGCACGACAGCCCCCTTCTAAGGGGTTCGTGAGGAATAGCTTCTTTTCTGGCCTGACTCCAACTGAATTTTTATTTCACGCTATATCTGGGCGTGAAGGATTGGTTGATACAGCTGTCAAGACAGCAGAAACTGGATACATGTCAAGAAGACTGATGAAATCTCTCGAAGATCTATCTACTCAGTATGATGACACGGTTCGCAATTCATCTGGGATTATCGTTCAGTTTCAATTCGGTGCCGACAAATTAGATCCGGTTGATATGGAAGGCACGGCCGTACCCGTCAATTTTGAACGCACATGGATACATGCGGAAAATTTAACTTGGAATAATGCTGATCGTTGTCTTCTACCTTTTGAAATTACTGCAGAGTGTGATAGACTGCTCGGCGAAGAACGACCAAAGTACGTGCGAAGAGGTCTTCTCAAGGAACTGTTAGACTACGATGACCAGAGTGACTATGCAATCGATGAATTTGAGAGCGCCAGAGGCTTTTTGAGTACCATCACTAGGTTTGTGAATGGCCTAGCTTCGCGACAGGCCAAGGTGCGACAGAGGTTTGGTCTGGATGAATTGGAAGACGATCCGCTGGAATCGGGAGATATATACGATCCAGAATCAGAAGATAAGGCAATGAGGGATCATGTCGACAGAGTTTCAAAAGTATCCTTGGCAACCTTGAGAATGTTCATCGGACTTTGCTTGAATAAATATGCAAAGGCACATGTCGAGCCTGGCCATGCTGTGGGTGCGGTTGGAGCACAATCCATTGGAGAGCCTGGAACTCAAATGACTCTCAAAACTTTTCATTTTGCTGGTGTTGCTGGTATGAGTATAACGCAGGGTGTTCCTCGTATTAAGGAAATTATTAACGCCTCCCGGGTTATCAGCACTCCAGTTATCACTTGTCCTTTAGAAAATAAAAAGCAAATCGAGGCGGCCCGAGTCGTCAAGGGTCGTATTGAAAAAACATATATTTCTGATGTCATTCGATTTATTGAGGATATGTGGTCAGCAAAAAGAGCTACGCTCTGTCTTTGTGTAGACGTCAATGCGCTCAACGATATGCACCTCGGAATAACTACTGAAGATATCGCAGAAACCATATGTTGCAACAGAAAGCTAAAGATTCGTGCTACAGACGTGATTGTTGCGAGCGACTGTATTTTTGTAAATGTTACCCACGAAAGTGGCGGTAATTTGGGAGGTCGTGGTGCCTCTGCTCGCAGTAAACAGAACATTGATGATGGAGGATCAGACTTGTTACTTCGTGTAAATCATCTAAAGCGCACGTTGCCCGCCCTTCCTATCTCTGGCTATCCTGATGCGACTCGAGCAATTATACAAACTTCGGAACAGAGTGAGCATACAGTTCTGGTGGAAGGTTACGGGCTTCGTGCTTGTATGACAACAGAAGGAGTCATCGGCACCCAATGTACTACTAATGGCGTGATGGAATGTAAAGAGGTACTAGGAATTGAAGCGGCTCGTGCTACCATTGCAAAAGAGATTGGTGCTGTAATGGGCGACATGGGCATCGATCCTAGGCATATGCAACTTCTAGCTGATGTGATGACTTTCAAGGGTGAGGTGCTTGGAATTACCCGCTTTGGCTTGTCGAAAATGCGCGACAGTGTTCTTCAACTAGCCTCGTTTGAAAAGACTCCAGACCATCTGTTCGATGCAGCGGCAGGCATGAAGACAGACTTAATTGAAGGTGTTAGCGAGTGCATCATTATGGGCCAGACCATGAGCATTGGCACAGGGGCATTCCAAGTCGTTCGAAACCTAGGTCTCAAGGCTGGCGATTTGAAGAGAAAGGCAACAATTTTCGAAGATGCCTGGAAATGGGACCAAGGAGAAAGGAGAAAGATGGGCCAACGGATAGTATTTTGATACTGGTATTTACGCTCATTCCAGTGGCTAAGTGTTATTCATTTAGGGCGGGCGTCTGGCGAAAATGCGGGTCAGGACCAGGAAAATAGTAGATTACTAATGGGAAGCATTGGTGACCCAAACTTGTCATCACGTAGAAACTAAAATGTCAATCATGAGACCCTTAACGTAAATGCATAGAGGTAAATTTTCACTTTTACTTTGAGTACGGAAAATATCAATTCTCCGAGTAAATGCTCCTCGCATGCTCACCGCCCGGGTGCAGCACTAAACCATTTGTTCAAGAAGGTTTTTTCCATTTTGGGAACCACTCTCAACACCTAGGTTGGATAGTGCAGTTGTATAGCATTCGGGCTATTCTACTAAGTAGATTCTGGGTAGCTTGGACACCTACCCCATTTGAGACAGGAGAAAGCTGGTTTGAATCCAGCGAGATTCGTACACCACACTCTCCCGTGGTGATATTGTTCTTGTGGGATGATGATAGATCGCTCGGATTGCCATAGGGTTTTGCATGCTTTTCCCTCTGGTGGGTATGCACGGAAGAGGTTATACGCCGTAAGGGTTAACTTGGAGCTGCATCTGCAAGTGAAATCTGAGTGTGAGTATTCGAAACGTCAAATTGAGTCATCCTACTTAAAGTACATGTCTTCCGATCAAACCTGCATGGGTCTCAAGGCGCCAAATCAGGACAACTGTTACAATTTAGAATAATTGGGGCTATCAAGTGGGCCACGTTGCTGATACACACGTGACTACAAATTATGTACTCAGTTTCACTTCGGTAGTCGCTCGAGGCAACGTGCGCTACAACCTCAATGACTGAGGGGTCATTATTTTCTTAATAATAACTGAATAACTTGCCGGAACCTTAGCAGGGCCCAAAGCAGTATTGCAGTTCAGATAAGAAGTGAGCACATCGGCCTCAATTCTTATCTGTATCGAAGGAAAGTTCCCGGAGTGATTAATCCAAAATGTCAGTGTGGATATCCGTCTCAAAATATCAAACACATGGTCTTGGTGTGTCCTCAGTGGGCAATGGGAAGAGGAGAGGTGCTTCAAAAGACGAAAGATAGGTTATTTGCGGCTATAATGAATAGCCCAGATGATATAGAGAGAATTACAAAATGGATCCTGGCAAAAGGCTGGTTTGAATAATTCCGGCTTGCAGGAGAAGTAGAAATAGCATTGGACGAAAAGATGAGACGATGTGGACAATGATAAGACGGAATTCACACAGAATAAACAGTGTGATCTTAGTTCCTGTAGGAAACCTCAGAAAACAAATAGACACGAGACAGACAGTTGCGGGGGGTTTTTACCGAATTTGGTTTCCTCCTGTGTAGATATTATAGCTAGATATTCCTGTATGGGCTCACATGGTACCTGAACGGGCTAAATCAAATCAAATCAACTGAATAACTTATTTATAAAGAGGAATTTATCATAGTGAGACGAATTTATAAAGAAACCAGGGTATGCGCCCATGTCCCAGTATGGCGACGTTATCATGGTGAAGGTATGTCTTGACCACCAGTAAACCCCCAAGCTAGCTGAGTGTAAGACAGAATCGTGCATGTACCATAATTTCCAACATATCTTGTGTTAAGCGCCAAGAGTAATTAATATTACAGAAAATAGATGTGGCGCAGTATTAAATGATACGAATACCGGAAACGAAAACGAGATAGTACATGACTTGTGTAATAGGTGCAGGACTGTTAAATTTACAACACACCTAACAATACGTAGCTAGTTAGCGGGTATGATGTCTGGAGGAAAGCCATCAGTTAGTAGATACACGAAGCGGATCAGTAATTACAAGTAGCTGTTAGCTGTAGCTAGCGTTCTCTTCTCTCCTCATATAGTTTAATAAATCGATTTATTCATCACTAACTCGGTTTCTGTCACAGTCTGAGAACACTGATACATGGCCTCTGGTCCTATGTCGTACATCAGACCAGTGCTAAAACAAAAGTAAACTTACAGCTCATATTACACCATATACCAAATAGAGCACCCATTTCTTAGTGATTAAGACTCATCTTGATAGGCTTCACAATTTTCGAATTTTTGGCGATTCTTGTATATCATACCTCGTGGATGGCCTTTACTATCCACAATTAAGAAATATCCACACGTTTTACCTTGATTAAGCTTTAATTAATGAGAAAAGCCTTTGGGGATATAACCACTTACCGCCCGTGTAAACTTCGACCTTAGGTATCATGGGAAACATTTTATGCGGGGGATTGCCAGAATAACCTTGAGAAATATATTGTGTAGGGTAGCCATCCAGTGTCTGCCCACGAAAATCAAAAACTTTTTTAGCGGAAGCATGAACACTTTTCGAGAAAAATGACTCGTCTTTACACTTATACATCTCATAGCCCTCGTCATCGTTTGGAGCTGCATATAATGATGTGGTTAAACTGAGAATGGCCGTAATTCCTGTCAGGTGGAGGGGCTTCATCTTGATTGTAGGTAGAGGGGAGCTTGCGACCAAAGGCGATAGCTCTCGTGTTGCTAACTACTTTGTGTTTGGCAGAGTGAGCAACTGTTGACGTTGGGAAAGAGTTTCAGATGGCGTAAGGGATGAGAAATATGTTTGCAAGAGATCTGGGAATACATGTCTAAATTGTAGAGCATAGAACGTTTATTAGCGGACTTGAAAGTTCGAAGGATTAGAGGTTGTTGTTGAGCTGGCTTATCTCATGATGTACCAGCCCAGGGGGCAGCTCAGCAGCAGATTAGAGGAAAGTGGACCGGATAAGCTTCGTCGGCATAAGTGACGGGCACAAGGATCCAGAATTAATATCACTTAATCAAAATTGTACCGAGTCAAGTTAACCAATTTATTCCTCCAGTAAGTCACTTAGACCAGGCCCCTGCGATCATTGTTCTCGAGTCATTTCATTGGGTCGCTATTAGTCGCAGCTTCCTTCTTGGCATCTCGAATTACAGCCAGAGAATCCGACCCTTGGGAAACGCCATATTCAAAGGTTGTCGGAGCTTGAGCTGAGAGATAGCTGAGCGGGATTTTCAACATCGGTATCACCCATCCTTGAAAGCGGAGGGGAAAAAAAAAGCGGTAATCGACTGTATCTTTTCTAGACTTGAGACATTTCATTTCATCTAGGATTCGAAAGCGATCAAGAGCGGCACGAAATAAACTGGAACAAATTCCAAGGACTCCTAATACATGCAAAAATGTTGAGAGTGAGCAGTTTGAAATTAAGTAAAAGCGGTTAGAATTGATGGCTTACATCAAGCTGAAGAATATGCAGAGCGAAACCCATAGATTCGCTGGTCTAGCTTCAAGGCGGAGCTGTTCATCCACTCTGGCCCTTAGAGTATGCGCCGTAGGAGTTTTTAACGTAAATGACGATCACCTCAATAAATCTCACACTGATGTTGAGTGGGAAATGATTCATGCAGAATTATGATGTCAGTCAATGAATGTATTTATGCATTCAATCCTTTGAGTACATAGATATTATCGTCACCTGCATTCAGTTTGACATGAGAAGCGTGGATGCAGATCCTCCGAGGACCTTAAACTGTCATGTTTGGTCTACTGTGTTGAAGGCCTCTTAATATAGTGAGTTGCTTATTTATCTTGACGCGTGATTCTGGTGGAGTTTATCCATGACCCCATATCTTTCCTATGCCGAACTTCCTTGGACTTCGATAGACCTTCGGCTCGGTACATCCTCGTCTAGACCTTCATCTCTTCAGACCAGTACGTCTTTCGTGAACCTTCTTCCGAAACTAAACTCTGATTCCGATGACTTTTACTCGAATCATTATTTTTATTCGTGATAGGATGAAGCCCAGTACTCATAGAGAACGACACGTAGAAGCTTAGTTCTTCTTCGACAACTATATACAAAGATGACTCAGTTTGACATTGCGACTGTTCTAGACTAACGCTTTTCATCCTCGGACTTCATGGTGAGCGGTAGTAGTAAGCCTATTGATATCATGCGGGAAAGAAGGAACAGAATGGTGAAAACTGCTAGCTGATCATCTGCGAGCCATTACTACTAGGAGTACTGCACGTGTCATTGCCGGCCTGCCAGTTTTTGATGAGCTTAGTACACAAAAAACCACCCCCTCCCACAATACCATCAAAATGGACACGCCAGATATAAGATCCCAAGAGGAAAAAGCGGCTCCCTCACTAGCTCCCACATGCAGCAGCTGCCTAAAGAGATAGCAGTGCCCTAGGCCCTCCAAAAAACCCCTCGGCTCAAAGGCCTCTCATACCAAAACCTGATGCCAGAGTCATTGTCCGACTACCAACGGAACACCCCCTCCGAAGTGAGAATCCACTTCTTATAAGAACCAAGCTATGCCGACTACTAAGCCGTCCAGAACTTATTAAAGACATCCGAATGCTGCCCACAGGGATAGCTCTAGTGGCCCAAACCCCCTCACAAGCTCAGGACCTACTTGAAGCAGCAAATAATCTCAACCCTATTACAGGCGAGGTACTTATGGAAAGACAAGAGAAAATATTAAATTACCTATTTGGCCCGGTACCAAAATACGGATACAACTGTCGAATAGTAGGACACAAGTTTTATTTGGATGTGCATTAAACAAGGATGCTGGAGTTTGGGTGGCAATAATGATTATGAAGATGTAATGACAAATGGGTAATAATTAGTAATAGCTGTGTAAGCATATATCATGTGACGAGTGTTCAAGGTCATTAAGGCCCTGGCGCTCCGTCGCAAATGAAGATAGATACGAATGAATGAAACAATTGTTATTGAGTTACCTCAAACAAGGAATCCATAGGAAATATTCCGACAACAACGCGTGGGGCAAACGCGAGGCCCTTTGTTACGGCTGGTTTGTGAAGAGATAGCCGTCTTCGAGATTGGGAACTGGCCGATGTTGCACGAGAGTATATCAGAACGGACGGGGACAAGAATAGCTTGTGGACTAATAATACAGATTGCAAAACTACAGAACTAAAGCTACATCTTACACCTAACTAAGTACAACTGTACAGCCTAGCGTGACTCAACTAAATGTCGGCGGAGGGCAAGACTGAACACCTGTACGCGGTGTCCTCTACAAACCTGGGGGTGAAATATTCTCCCAGAGCCAAGTTCAGTCAAATTTCGCAATATCAAAGAAGTTGGCCCACGAGGCAAGAATCCAAATTACTCATCCACGTCGTTATTTCGCTCCCAACGAGTTTGACTCCTATCTTCGTCTCATCGAGTCTACAAGTACGACCAAGTACATCCTCATTCCAATGACCACACCACTCTTCGACCTTCTCTGGCCTTAGCTGGTCACCAAATACACGCCCACGCCGATATTTATACCCGACGGAGGAATCAAAGCGTGGAGCACAAATCTGGGAGTGTGACGGAAACCAAGTTGGTGATGAATAAATCGATTTAATAAACTATATGAGGAGAAAAGCTAATTCTAGCTACTACTAACAGGTATTTATAGGAGTTAATCCTCCTCGTGAATCTACAGACTAGTGACTTGTCCTCAGGCTCAATACTTCTACCCAGCCACGTATTTCCAGGTGTCACTAAGTTGTAATGACGCTTCAGCCTCCTGAGTAGTAGTGCCGTTTTGTTCAGCTTCATCTCCACCCCCATACAGCCTCATTGTAAGGATTCTTAGTATCAGGCTTAGGTATCCACCTAAGCTCAAACAACGGTCAAACCGTAACATTACCCCCCCGTTTACCCTCTCCTCTTCTTTTTCCTTAATGCTGGCCCATTATTTGTCTCTGCAGAACCCCACTTTTTCTCCCAAACGTCTAGAGCTACAGCATCTTGCAAATTTATCAGTGATGTCCACTCTGGCTGTGCCATTCCAGTCCACTTCACTAAAGCCTGTCGCTCCCCCTTTTTTGTTCTGCACCTAAGCACTTCGTCAATCTGGTACTCTTCTTCGCCATCATCACTAGTGATTGGTCCTGGGTTTTCATCTTCTAGTATTTGTGAAGGCAACGGATTTTCTTCTGCAGGTATGAGCAAATCCACATGAAATTTATTATGAACTTTTCCCGGTATATTCAGTTGCACTACCTCAGGCGAAATTATTTTTGTGACAGTATACTTTGCATGCTGCCAGCCTAATTTTTTGGAAGGTTGATCTTCCAATCTAATATTCCGTAAAAGGAGCCAAACTTTATCACCGATTTCGTACCTTGGTGCTGGCTGTCTCTTCTTATCTGTCAAATCTTTATATCGTTCCTGAATGGCTGCCATGGCAGATTGCATAAAAATGGTGACCTTTTCTAACCTTTCGACAAATTGTTCAGCCCTTTCTTTTCCTGTAGATGCTGGAATGATTGACTGATTAGTAACAATTTGGATGGGGTTCACATGATATCCGTGTGTCGCAAAAAATGGACTTATGCCGCCTAAGGATACAACATCTCGATTATTTATAGCAATTTGAGCAGCAGCAAGTGAATCAGACCAATCATGTTGGGTGTAGGAAATATATGCTCGCAGGTATGTTTGAACTTCCTGGTTTATTCTTTCCGTTGCTCCATCGGTTTGAGGGTGATAGGCTGTGCTCAGCCTCTGTTCAATTCCAACTAACTCGCACAATCGTTTCCAGAATTTACTCGTCCAATTTGACCCTCTATCGCTAGTTAATGCTTTTGGGAATCCATGGTAACGCCAATGACATTCTATAAATCGTTTTGCGCAAGTTTCTGCATCCATTTTGTCCATAGCCTCCAGTGTCACTGATTTCAACAGTCTATCAGTGATTACCATGATATTTGTTGCACCGTTTGATTTAGGAAGTTCCACCATAAAGTCAATGGAAAGCTCTTGATGGAATCTATCAGGTACCGGTAACGGTTTCAGAAGCCCCTGTTTCTGGTGTCGCCAAATTGATGACCTTCCGCACACGTGACAATTTTTACAGAACCGTTTGACTGACTTGCTTATTCCCGGCCAGAAGTATTCTCTAGCGACTTGTGCAAGCGTCGCATCTCTTCCAGGATGGCCAGTGACGGCTGAGTCATGAACGTTCTGTATAATTGCCGTTGTAAGAGGTTCATAGAGAGGCACCCATATCCGACCTTGGTAACGAACTACCCCAACATCATCGTCAAATTCGCAAGCAGCGATCATTGCTTTAATCGGAGTAGGCTCATTTGAACCTTCTATTTGCAACTTGATGTCTTTGGGCCATACGCGCTCTCCGCTTTGTACCGCCTTAGCGACTTGGACATATATTTCATCGTTTTTTATTGCTTGGTTCCAAAGCTCCTTTAAATCTTCGTTGGCGAATATTTCATGGCCTTCCGCTAGATTAATATTGCCGACACACAACTTTGACGCATGGATTGGCGTTAAGACTTGGCGCTCGCGACTCAAAAGTCGAGGATCACCTTCCTTAGGTCTATCTTGATCCCTCCTTGAAAGTGCATCCGGACGTTCATTCTCTGCACCTTTCCTATATACCAGTGTA